AGGCTTTATTTTTATAGAATAAAGGGGGCACTTACTACCTTCTTATATATATATATAATATAACTAAAGGTATAAAGGTGTTTAATTTAAAGAGGTTCTTAGTTAGTAGTAAGGTTAAGCTTATAAGTAATAATCTTATAAAGGCTTATTTTACTTTAGTTAACTATAGTAAAGGTTAAAGATCTAACTATAGTATTAAGTATATAGTCCTAGAGATCCTCTAGTAGCTATTATTAATAAGTAGAGTATAAGTAGCCTTTATAAAGGTATAGCTAGTATATTTAATTATACTATTTATTAATAAGTATAGGCAGTAGTTAGGTAAAGTTAAGTGCCTTTAAAGAAAGATTATAAAGCACTTTCTTAAGCTTAGTATATTATTATATATTTAACCTTTAATTAAAAGACCTATTATATTAGTAAATATAGTACTAAACTTTTAATAGTATTAAGAATAACCTTATAGTAATAGGCTTTTAATAAAGTAAGCTAGTAATAACTACTATAATAGTTAAGAAAGTAAAAGGTATATTATATACTAAGTTTAAAAAAAGGTTTAACCTTAATAAAGTCTAGATAAATTTCTTTACTTATAAAGTAAAAGTAATAAAGTATTATAGCTAATAAGCTTTATAGATTTAGCTAAGTAGTAGGCCTTATAGTAAAAGTTATTAATCTTTACTTATAAATTATATACTTACTTAATAGTAGGCCTTAATAACTATAATAAATAGGATAAATAAGTTAATAATATATTATTTAAAAGTTAGTTAGTACTTATCTTTAACTATAGTTAACCTAAGGGTAGTTACTATAAGTAAAGTTAGGCTATTAGTTATATAAAGAATATAATATTAAAATCTATTTAATAGTAGCTAAATAGGCCTTAGATTTAGTGTTAATAATATAAGTAGTAGTATAGTTATATTTAATCCTACCTTATATAACTTACCTAGGCTAAGAGGTTAGCTAGGCTAAGAGGACTATACTTAATATCTTTAATAGTCTAGTTAATAGTCTAAGTTAGGTTAACTAGATCCTCTGTTTAAAAGAAAATAGTACTACTACCCTCTAAATATACTTAATTACTATTTACTATAGTAAAAGGTTAAAGGTTACTATAGACTATATAAAATATAAAGTAAGTTAATAAGTTAAATATAAGGTTAAAGTAGCCTAAATCTAGTATAATATTAAAGGTAGTAATAACTTTATTATTAATAGCTATATATACTATATAGCTAGGCTTTATAGCTAGGCTAGTAATAAAGAAGCTACTAAAAGTACCTAAGGCTCTCTTAAGAAAAATAAAGGTTAATAATAAGTTAAATAATCCTTTTTTATAATCTTTATTATAGATATACTTAGTTATATAAATAAAAAAGGTATTATAATAAAGATAATTAGTAAAAACTAGCTTTAGGTAAGTAGTTTAGTACTTTATAGTAGAGTAGTTTTTCTTATAATAAAGATAAAAACTACTATAAGTAATATTCTTAGTAAAAGTAGTACCTTAGTTAGCACTAAAAGAAGTTACTATTAGATTAGTAGTATTCTTATAATATATAATAAGTCTTATTTTTTATTCTTTATCTTAGGTAAAAGTATTAATAGTTTTAATAACCTTTACCTAGGTAAATGTTTTATTATTATTAGTGTAGTACTTATAGGTATCTAGTAGTTATACCTTAAAGTAGTTAAGTATAAGAATAGCCTAATAGTAGTTAAAGTTTTTACTATAGAGACTAGTAATATAGCTTTAGAAGTACTATACTCTTGTAAAGGTATTATAAAGGGTTTTATAGTCTTAGGCACTACTCTTATTAAACTTATTAATAAAAGTAGTAATAGTATCTTTAGATACCTTAGGGATAAACTTTTTAAGTGTTTTTATAAAAGTATATAAGTTACTATTATTAACTTAGCCTATATTAAGAAGCTTAATAATTATAAGGTTATAAGTACTAATAATAATACTATAGGTAGTATTATATTTATTCTCCTAATTCTTATACTTATTAGTGTTAATTACTAGTTAAAAGACTTTATAATTAATATATTTCTTAACTCTAGTAGTATAAAGTAATATATTAACTAAGACTTACTATTATAACTAGTTTAACTTCCTCTTAAGCTTAAAGATAAACTATATAACTATTTAGTAGTTAACCTTATTAGCTATAATAGTAGTTAATTACTAACATAAAAAGAATAATATAATATATAATTTAGATAAAAGTTTCCCTTAGACTATAGGTAGCCTAATAATATATTAAACTTTATATATTTCTTTTATAAAATAAGAAGTATATCTAAATTATTATATAAATTACTACTATTTATTAGATATCTAAGTAAAAAAAGGTATAAGTAAAAGTAAAAGTAATATTTTAAGTTTTATTACTTATTATTATTTATAAAGTAATATAACTATAGTAAATAGGTAGTTAAACAGTAATATAAGTAGTAACTATAATGTCTTATAAATATTACTATAGACTATTAAAAAAGTAAAAAAGAAAAGGTAAAGGTAGCTAATTAATTAATTATAAAGAAAATTAATTAGTATTAACCTAGGCCTTATAACCTATAGGAGCAGCAAGGTAAAGCAATATCTATTAATATTAGTAATAACTGTAATAATAAAGCTAACTAGGAGTAGGCTGCCCATAGTAGGCAGAGGCTGGCCAAGAAGGAGGTGGAGGTGGGTCACGTGACCCATGGGCTCCTCCACCAACAACAGACGTTGAGGATTCGAGCGCCCCGAACCAGGGCTAGCAGCAATCGGTTCTGTGAGTGAACAACTCAATGGATATTGAAATCTGTACTCGCAAAAAAACACTACATCGTGCTCCTTTTCGGACGTGTGTGATCGTTCTTAGCCTTGTAAACTGAAACTCATTCCATCATTCAGTGTTGCAACTAGCCCGCAGTGATAAGGAAAGCCGATTCCGAGTCGGCTAAGGTTGGGTCTGAAGTCCTAAGGATAAACGGGACTACTGATCTCAGTATTTTCGACTTTGTGGTAGCACGACCTTGTAAGAAGCTTGGGCAACTCCATGTCTGGATAGTATCACCATCCAAAGCTGGGGCTTGTTTCGAGATGGTCAGCCAAGAAAGTGCCAAACGAAAGAAGCGAGACAGCAAGGCGAGCGAGTTGCTTTTTTGTCTCGGTCGCTTACTAGATTTACATTTGCCATCCCCGATGGCAATGGGGTCCTCGTCTGGCTCCCCTAAGAGCAGCTTCCGGACATCGCATAGCCCTGGACTTTGTCCGCGGCTAGGAAGGACTGTGTCTGCTTCCCGGAGCCGGTTGTAATCGGATCGTCTTAAGGATTGTGATTGGCGAGAGCATCGCCCCGTCCCTCCCGGGGAGCCTCCGGTACTTCTTTGCCCAAAATGATTTACAGGCTATTAGTCAACTGACTGCGTTTAGCATCGTGGCTTGGCTTGCACCGGGGTTTGCCCAGGATACTCAAATCGACGACTGTATGTGAGATAGTGAGATTGAGATTGGCCAAGGAGAATTCTAAGCCGTGATACGCACATCAAAAATTATGCGACAACTTCCAAGAAACACCAAGTGCCCACGCTTGCTTTCTCACCAACTCAGCCTTTGGTCTGCCTAATCGAAATCCTCGCTTCTGGTGAAACCAAGTGCCGAGTGGCAATGCACCCCGGCCAGAGGTAGATCTCATACAATCTCATACCCGTGTGGCGACAGTCTGGTATAGGTTTTCGAGAGAACCTCGTGTGACGTTTGGTGTCTGGCTATGAGCGTGCCGAGACAACATGGCATCCCGTCGACTTACAAAACAAAACCACACTGCCCTTCCGCTTTCCCCTTCAAGACGACCACCTATTGAATCTTCTTTCCAGATGTACCCTGTATTTCCTTACTTACCTGCCCTTTGACGTATCGCCATGTCACGACTCCCCGATCAGCAACATCAGCAATCACAATGGACATCGGTAGGTGACCACAAATCAGGTGCAGCGGCAGCCGTAGAACCACTCAGTTCCAACCCAGAATCAGCGACTGAGAGAGGTATCGGTTGGCAGCAGCATAAGAGGAATCTGTCGGATCGAACAACCATCTCTTCCCCGCCGTATGCAGCCCTCCGGGACGATGTCCGTTCCAGGAGCAACGCAAGCCTAGCCTTCCGTGAAGAACCGCTCCACACTAACGTCACGCAGCCTGAGAGGCAAATGCCGTCTGCCCGCTTCGGCCCCTTTTGCTACCCGACGGTTGGTCCCTTCAGCGGGGAGAATATGGCTGGGCTGGACCCAGTTCAGCAGGCACTTCGAAGCCGCTCGGGGTCGATGTCTTCGCGCATACCGCTGCCAGAAAACCCACAAGTATTGCTCAACAACCGCTATGGTTCCAGGAGCACACCATACCAACCGTTGACGAGCTTCTCCAATTCACAGGAAGTTGTCAATAACACACAGCCTCCGCCACTACCACCACCTCCAGGACCGTTTGCTCCCTACCAACCTCCTACCGTGTACACTCCAGTCCAGAACTCGAGAAAAAGTATTATCGGGCTGGAAGAGAAGGGACATGAGGATCCTAGGGTCCGGGCACTCGTCGACGCCTTGAGACTCAATCCACCCACTCCACCCACTCCGGCCGCCCAGGAGACGAGATGGCCCGCCGAGCCTACCAGGCAGTCCAGCCATATCGAATTAGCCACAGTTTTGGACGACATCCGAGCCAACCCTCAGCGGTGGTCTAATCCGGGCCCACCTTTAGCACAGGAGGCAAGACTTCCGGAGCAGCACAGAAGGTCCAGCGCGATCAAGCAGCGTGCCGTTCCGTCACCCCTGCAAGTCAGCCCGGGCAACCCCGGTTCGGTCGCTGCTGCTGCCACCACCGTGGATGGCAGTGCCGTCTCTACGGCGAGGGGATGGGAGAAGCAAGACCCACCACTGCCCACAATGGGCGACGACGGTGGCAGGGGTGGCGGTGTCGCCAACGCGAGGAACAAGCCCGCTGGCACTGCCGACGACTTGGGGGTGGACAACATTGTCACCTGGGACGGTCCGGACGACCCAGCCAACCCGGCCAACTGGCCCATGATGAAGAAGTATCAGACATCGCTCATCCTCTCGCTATTTACTTTCATCGCCCCCTTCTCTGCCACCATGGTGGGCCCCGCCATGGAAGTCATCGGCACTGAACTCAACATTGCACCCGGCACAGAACAGCAGCTGATCCAGGGCATGCAAGTCCTCGCAGCCGGGATCGGTCCCTTCTTCATAGCACCCATTATAGAGCTATTTGGTCGAGCCAACGTCATCCGCTACGCACATCTTTGGCACCTCATCTGGAATACAGCCTGTGGTTTCGCAACATCTGGACCTCAGTTGCTCGCCTTCCGTTTTATTGGTGGCCTCGGCGCCAGTGCGCCTCAGATCGTGAGTCCGTCTCTTCTAAGGGCAGCCAAGTATATAAGCTGACTTTTGCTGTTGTATTTCAGCTGGCACCTGGTCTTACCGCCGATGTGTATCCGGCGCCGATGGGGGGTAGAGGGGACGCGGTACACGCCTATCTACCCTTTTTTGGCAGTGCCATCGCGCCCATTTTCGGTGCCTTCGTCACACAGGAGAGCAACTGGCGTTGGATATTCTGGGGCACGTCGATTTTCAGCGTGATTGCACTCGCGCTGGCGTTTTTGGTTCTGGACGAAACGTACCACGCGGTACTGCTAGAACGCAAAGCCGCCCAATTGCGCCAAGAAACGGGCAACCAACGACTGCACACGCCTTTTCACGACCCAAACCAGTCCAACAGCGACCGCATCTTGAAAAGGGCAGCCCTCCCTTGGCTCATGCTGGTATCCCATCCCATCGTCCAGCTGCCATTTGGCTACAGGGCCTATCTCTTTGGCATCATGTATTTTGTGTGAGCCGACACCGAATCCCCCACCCAAGCAACTTGGCATCGACAGAACCTAACATTTGGAATCAGAATCTCGACTTATGGTCAGACTTTTATGACTGTATACGGAATGGACAAGGAAAGCGCTAGTGTGAACTTTATCTCGCTTGGTATCGGCTTCGTCGTTGGGCTGCACATTAGCCGCTATGCCATTGACGGGGTACGTCTTCTATGAACAACAATGAGAGTGATATACAGCAAATCCAGCTCAATGCTAACAACGCCTGCGCCAGTTCTCGGCTTATTTTCGCAGAAGACACAAAACCACTGGTCATTCTCCCGAATGGAGACTTCCCGTCAACGGTGGCGCGGCACTTTTCCTCCCACCGGCCCTAATACTCTACGGCTGGGGCCTAAGAAACGAGTTGCATTACATTATAATTAACATCATCGCTTTCTTCCTTGCCATCGGTCTGATCCTTGGTTACTTTAGTCTGCAGCCGTACGTGACTGAATCCTACGGGCTGGAATACGCCTCAAGCGCGCACGCCGTCGGTGCCTTCCTCCAGCACATCGCCGAGTTCGCCTTTCCGCTTTTTGGACCATCTGTCACTAATTCAGACCTCGGTTTCGGCTGGAGCTACACTCTGCTGGCCGCACTAACGTTGGCCATCTGTACGGTGATGCCTTTGATCCTCTGGCATTTTGGGCCAGCTATCAGACGGATTAGCACTAGGGGTTTACCTGTCGAGCCGTCTGGTCGACGTTGAATACGAAGCCCTCGGAAACTGGCTTGTTCTGATTATAAGAAGCCAAGGACTATATTTTGCACGTACAATTAGATGAAGTCAAGATCACACGAAATGTTATCAGTAGATATATCTAGGAGTTGTATACAGTATAGATTTGTCAATTTAATATGTTACTATGAGATATATATTTCCAGAGCCCAGAGAAATAATTCAAGGCCTATTCTTCTGTCAACGCCATTAGTTGTAACGCTGTTCTATAGTCTATAACCTTTTCCGTGAGGCAGGACAAAGAGATATTGCTTTTAGCAGTGACAGGTGGCCCAGCAGAGTGCTTTTCCTAATATTGTAGGCTTTGGGAATTGTTACCGTATCATCCCTCGGAGCAGGAAAGCTGACTGCAATTAGGGGAACGATACGCCGGCGCTCAATGTCCGGACAGAATCCACTAAGCTATTACAAGTTTAACAGCATAATATATTTCATTTGATTCCGGGAGAAAAGTTTGTAGAGTTCAGAGCTATTCTACTCCGTAACTAGAGCTTGTAAAGTAAGATGGTCTGTTCTATCTTGGGGAGCCTACATATATCTGTGACTGGTGCCTACGTCATCGGAGCACCCGATTTCAGCACCTTTTTGAACGGCTGGAACGTCCACAGAGACGTTGAAACGGGCTGGCCCCGAGTGGGACTCACACAGGTGGCTGCCGCGCGACCGTGACCAGTTACGCCATATCTGCAAAAGGACATAGAACTTCAAGACTGCCTAGTCTTGAGCCAGCCACGCTTAAGTGGACAAGTCAGCAACGTGCCTGGCACCTGACGTGACAGGTAATATACTCTTTTAACTAGCTGAAAGTAGGTGTACTAATTCTAAATAACTAGGAAGTAACGCCTCATTGTCTAAGCTTAGCCTGCCAAGGAAACCACCAAAAATAGCAAGATATGGTATCAGCTCCTTGCGGTTCGCCTTCTTGCTATAGACTAGATGGTGAATAATACAAAAGAGTGAAATCAGTAATAGCTGTCCCATATCAGCCAATCCGGGAGTTGTTGAACTTCTGTCCCTACGGATTACACTGTTAGCTGTCCCCTGTCCTTATATCATACACAATATGGCTGTCTTACATTCCAAGCTCCTCCTCAAGGAACAGTCCGCTACTAGCTAGCTTGATCACAGAGGTTGCTGACTTAATACAACGCTCTATGCACGGCTCGCGCATCTGCTCTGTGACCCCTGAGTCTGACTTGTCACCCAGGAACGTTGTCAACGAAACCCAGGGGCAGTGTATGAAGAAGATAGCTCGGCGGTACATGATGAAGATGTGGAACGCTCTGCGTAGCTGCTGAGTCTTGTGCCTAAGTGTTTCTATGAAAATATGATCATGCGCCTTGTTTAACGGTGTTGGAAGGCTGTTTAGCCACTCCCCCAACTCACAGTATCTAGCTTTTAGCCGATCGCAGCGGTCATGCGCTGACAACACTGACCTCCCTAGTGCCTGTGGGCTATACTGGTACCTGAAGACCCTATGCAGGACTTCTGAGTGCGTGTACATGCTTGTGCATATATCGTTTCCATGATTAAATGAGGGACGCCAGGTGCAGAACTCATGGTCTAACATCCGCGAGTTGGTAATTTTAGTATTACTAGGGACAACGCCGTGTGCTTAGAGGATGCTTTACTTACTGGCAACGTTCCGAAATACATCGCGTATTCTATATCTGTCATGAAGCTAGATTAGCTTTGTGTGGCTAGTGCTAGCAGCGCCGCCACAGGATGTGGCGTACCACCTGCACAGACTGTCTAGAAAAGGTATTTCTACTGCTTCTCTAGTTTATATATAGTTTCTTAATAGGTTAACTACTTTTCTCTTATATAATAAGACACTATAGTTTATTATAGTTATAAGCCTAGCTCTTATATAAAGAACCTCCTAGATATTATAATTAAATCTAGTGTCTATATCTCTTAATCTTTTATTTTAGAACTATTTCTTAGTTAATTTTAATTTATTAAGTTATTATAACTAAAACTAAGAAGTTAATAGACTTTAATAAGTTAATTAAGCTAGTTATTAAGTATAATTAGCCTAAGTAGTATATTATACTTAAATATTATACTTATAGTAAGAATCTATAAGACTATATTAACCTAGATAGTAATTCTTAAAAGAACCTTAAAGATAAGCTAAAATACTAGTTATTTAATACCTAGCTAGTAGAATATAATAAAGATAAACTATTATCTTAATAGGCTATAATTAAAACTATAAATATTATTATACTTTACTTAATTAAAAGTATATAAAAAAAGGATATTAATAAATTCTTTAATAAAAAATAAGTATATAAAAAGATTAAGTCTTAGGTTTAATCTATAGTTAACTTAGTACTACTTAGCCTTACTTAAATAGAAATTCTTAATAAAGTAACTAATAATAAAGTTTTAAACTAAAAGGATATATTACTTTAGGCTTTAATTAAAGTTCTTAAATAATACTATACTTTAAATAACTTTACTATACTTACTTTAGTTTATAAAGAGTATTTTATAGTACTTATAAAAGTAAATATAAACATTAATTTTACTTTATAGTACACTAAATAGTAGAAATACTATCTCTAAGGAAAATAGTATAATATTCTAGAGGTCTAAGGAAATCTTACTATAAAATCTTTTCTTAAAGCTATTTTAAACTACCTAGCTTCTATATAAAGAAAGAAGATAATAAATTATATAGTAAAGAATAAGATAACTAATAAAGAAAACCTTTTACTAAGTAATTATAAAGTAATTTTTATTATACTTTACTATAAGAAAACCTTAACTAAAGAAAAAAGAAAGGTATTAGGGGTCTATATAATACTTTTAGACTACTTAAATAAGAACTCTAAAGCTAATTTACTAAAAATAAAAGAATATTTATATAGTGTTCTTATAATATATAACTTAGCTAACTATTTATAGGTTAAAATAGTAATATAAGGTATCTTATACTAAATAAACCTTAAATAAACCTAAGAAAAGTTAATAAAGATTAAAGAAAAACTTAAAGAAGATAAATAGTAGTTAGTATAATATATACTTATTAATAAAGGTTAAATAAAGCTACTAAATAAAGGTTTAAATAAGAAATAATTTCTGCTTAAGAAGAATAAAGCTAAAGATAAGAATAATTTAAGATCTACCTAAGGAACTAGAAACTTAGTAGTCTATATATTAATTAACCTATTACTAATTAAGAAAAAACTTTAAGTAAAAACTATATTATATAAGGTCTTTACTTATAGCTATAATAGCCTATATATACTTTTTAAGTATATAGTCTTTAATAATTATAGTACTACTTACTTAGTAAATAATCTTAGCCTCCTTAAGCTAGATTTACTTAAGGACCCTAAGATAAATAAATATATTAAATTAGGATTATCTTTGTTTTTAGTTATTAAGAAAGAAAAGTATATTCTTAAGAGGATTTTATTAAGACTAAAAAGGCCTAATATAGTTAACCTAGTGTTAACTAATATCTATTATATTAAGAACTTCTATATAAATATTATCTTAAAAGTATATTTATAAAAAGTAAACGTTTAGTACTATAGTTATAACTATACTCTCTAAAGGGGCCTTATTAAAAAAAGTAAAGTAATTACTTACCTTATATAAAAGTTTAACCTAGTTTTCTTTTAATATAATATTTATTCTTTATACTTTTTTTACTTATTCTTTATAGCCTTATAAGTATATTCTTTACTTTAAAATTAAGAGGTTAACACTTAAAACTATTTTATAATATACAAGGTAATAAGATAAATAATATAAACACCTAGTACTTTTATTTAAGGTATTTAAGACTAGATATACTTTAGTAGTTAGTTCTAAATATAAGAGGAGTTAAAATTTAAGTGTCTTCCTGCTTAGAATATAAATATTATATAATAATATATACCTTATAAGTTATATCTAGATAAATATTAAAAGTAAAGTTAATATAACCTTACTACTATATCTTATAAGACCTTTTTAACTACCTAGTAAGCTTTAATAAAGCCTATTAAATACTAGTTATTAAAAATAAATATTTAGGCTATTTATTTATATTTCCTTAAGTGTAAAAGACCTTATATAAGGTTTTTAAAGTGCTTTACTTATTTAAAAGGTAAATATAAAGGTAAAAAAGACTAGTTATTTTTAAGATTAGATAAAATATTAAATATACTATAATTATAATCTAAGGCTATACTACTTATAAACTCTAGACTTAGGAACTTAGTATTAATATAGAGCTTTTTTTACCTTATACTAAGGAACTAATAAAAAGAAATAAGTAAGTAAGCTAAGAAGTTATTACCTAGGTAATTAAAATAATAAGTATAGCTAACTTACTAACTAATTTATAGTCTAAAGCTATTATAGTAGTAGCCTATATAATTAGTATTAGCCTATAAAAATATAATAATTAAAAATCTCTAGTTAAAGTAAAAGAAGCTTAGTACTATTAATATTTTAGATAGTATATACTTTTTTATATAATAAGTCTAATAAGGGATTTATAACTATACTAAGGTTAGCTTTATATATATAGGTGTTATATATACTCTCTAAAGAGAGAAAGAAAGAAAAGGATTAAGAAGAGACTTTTTAAAGTAGTTCTCTAAGGGTATATTAGGTACCTAGTAAAATATATACTAAATATAAATAACTTATATAAGATTTAGGTTCTTATCCTTTATTAAGTATATATTACTAGAAATATAACCTTTAATAAAATAAAATTCTATTTACTTATAGACTTTAAGTTAGTAATTAAATAATAAGTTATAAAAGAAATTATTAAACTAAAGATACTACCTATAAGCTTAAACTTAGTTCTTAAAGCCTTGTGTATATAAAACCTAATAGATCTCTTAATAAAGGACCTTATAGAAGCACTAGTTAGCCTAGAAAAAATAAAACTAGCTAATCTTATTACTAAACTACTATATAAAATAAGCTTCTTAAGAAATAACTTCTAACACTAGAATCTATGCCTAGGCTAAAAGTATATTTAAAAACTACTACTTTAACTAAGAGAGTAGTAAAAAAGTAATCTTTATAGGATTTTTAGTAAAAAGATAATACTATAAATACTACTATATATATAAATAGTAATTTTAACTAATCTCTAACTAAAAAGAAGATTAAAGATATTATTTATATAAAGACTAATATTCTTAATAAAGACTATAAAGTTATTAGTTAAATAACCTTATTAGACTCTATAGCTAAGGCAGATAGGCTATTATACTTTAACAACAAGAGAACTATAGAACACTTATCCTAAGTAGGTTTAGCTTAAGGAGTAAAAAGCTATACCTAACTAGTAAGAAAAAGTAAAAAAGCTAAAGGACTACTACCTAAAGATAACTAAGAATTACCTTAGGAAGTAAAAAGTAAAATATAAAACTTCTTTACTAGCCTAAGATAAAATATAAGACTATTAAAATATAAAACCTTACTTAAATTTAACTTTACTTATAATACTTTACTTTAGGTAAATAGATTATAAACTATACTTTACTTTATAAATAAAGACTAAGATAACTTCTTTTTAATATATTTACTTAATTAGTAAAAAGCTAAAAATAAAGTAGACTAAGGATATTAAACCTTTTATACTATAGTTATTAGAGTAGTTTAAGGTATATCTTATGCCTAGAAAATACCTATACTAAGTAAAAAATATATTATATTAGAACTTTTAGCTTTACTAAAAACTTATAAAGATATACTTAAGCTACTAGAAAATATTTATACCCTCTTTAAAATAGTAATTCTAGAGGAAATTAATAAACTTAGTAAAAAAGAGATTTAGAAGGTTATTAATATAATAGAAGTAAAAAATAAGCTACTTTTACTTAAGTAGGTGTTTATATATAAGCTAAATAAGGATAGATTTCTTAACTACTATAAAGTAAAAATATATATATAAGGTAATCTCTAAGAGAAAAACCTACTTTAGTAAATATATATAGCTACCTTAGTAGTAAAGACTTTTTAGGTTATAATAGCTATTATAGCTTAATTTAACCTTAAGATTTATTAGCTAGATATAGTTAATATATTTTTTAACGTAGAGATAGACAGTAAACTAGTTACTTACTAATTCCTAGATAGTTTTTAGATCTATAGGAAATATATTTAACTTATATACGCTCTTTATAGGCTATATAATACACTATTATTATAGTATAAAGAGCTATTTATAAGACTTAAATTACTTAGACTATAAGCTATAAATAAAGACCTATATCTATTTATAGATATAAAGTAGAAAGTATTTATTATTTTCTATATTAATAATATCCTAGTCCTTTACTATTAAGATAATAAGGTAGCTAGAGAAGTAATTATTAATAGCCTAAAGAAAGTATATAAAATAAAAGACTAAGGTTAAGCTAAATACTATCTTAGGATATAAATTATTAAAGACTATTAGTTAAAAAAACTCTTCTTTTATTATATAGGATATTACTAACTAATACTACTTTCTAGAATAACGTTACTTATTAATCTAACCCTTGCTCCTAAATATAGATACTTATAGTAAAGTCTACTAAGTAAGGTAATATTTAAGGAATATAGATTATAGTACTTTAGATAAAAGAAATAAGCTACTTTTAACTATATAAAT